GAAAAATGGTTGGAATCGAATATTCAAACCTATTACAAATTGCTCATATTTTCAAATTGCAAAGGTTGTTCTATTGCGCAACGTCTTTTTTTACTTTTGAAACTTGTTGAATTTATGCATTTTATGAAAAGACAAAGTAAGAAAAACTTGGTTTGCACAATTTGTTTTAGTCTCCCAAGACTCTCCTCTGATTTATAACCACATCTTCAGGATAAAGACACAATTGTTACCTGGAAAACCATCAATAACCAGAGCAAAGTTATGTCTATTCAGCTCTTCGTCGACAACAATCAAAAATTTTTATATCCTAATATTCCAAAAGCCTACAGCGCTCTTAAGCATCTCCATTCAAACCCATTTGTCTTTTTTTCTGGTCAGGTAGTGTGCAAAATCATAGCATTTGGATAAAGTAAAATCTATATTTGAAGGGTTACAAAAGAAAATTTGTATGAAAACTTTGGAAGGACTACAAAAATTAAATATCTAAGATTTCCGATATTTTGCTCAAGGAGCGCTATTGCAGTTCAAAGTGCTCACTTCCACACATGCTTTTTTTTGGCCACCAGCCTTACTTTGCTTTTGTATATGAGATTCTCGACAACACAACTCATCTGTAATAGTCACAGTCTTATATATTTAGTTTAGTTATGTTTCTAGTGGTCTAATGCTACAATGCTGCCTTAATTCCTTTGCCACTTTACAACGACAAGGTCATAAAACCATATGTTGTAATGGATTACGTAACTGTTGCGTAACTGCGAATTTAGAACTATCGAAAGAGTTCGACTCCAACTGTCTCACTACTGCAGTTTATCCATTTACAGTTTTCTCGTTTCAAGACTGCTTTGTAGCCTGCTTAAAAGTATCATGTCAAAAAATTCGATAAAGATAGTATTTGAGTTTGTTTCTCAAACGTATTTGTTTCTGCAATTATGAGAACCTCATTTGCTGCTGCCTAATGAGAAATCAGTCTAAATGTTAGAAAAGCGACTTTGCCAAAAAACTTTTAACAAAATAAAGAGAGGCAATTATAGACTGTGAAATATGCTATATAGTTAAAATAAGGCTATAGAAAACAGAAAGTAGTTGAAACAAAACTACAAGAAAAAGTGCAGTTGTTAGGTTTCTACAGCTCGTGTTTTTGTTTTACCTTTATCACACTAAGAAACAGTTGAAAGAGATTATGAAATGGTAAAACCAAACTTTTACGGAATATAAATTCACTTGGTGCCATTCATCGCGTTCTATGTACGCAGGTATAACACTGTGATTAGACAGACATTTTAGAGTATTTTAGAAAATTGTGAAGAAATTTGATAACTGTGAACAAAGGACCTTGCTTAAGAATGCATTTGAATCTTTCAGCTTCTTAGGATTGAGGCGGCAAATGTCTGGATTGCTACTGCACCAATTAATGTCTCGAAAGCGGCATTGTGAAACGATATAAAAGCTACAGTAACATCTTAACATCTGACCTATTAGAAAGTTAGTAAGAACTAAATAGACAATTCTAAAACTATCACGGAAGAAATATGAGGTGTCAAAAACATTTTATACAGAAAATCAAGTAAGGTTGACGATCAAGAAAGGGACGTTTGAGAGTGAGCAGAGTTAGTTGCAATTCCGCTCTTAAATGAAAGCCATCAGGAAAGTGGGACGATGCAGATCACTTTGTTTCTGATTTTCTCTGAATAGAAAAACAGTTTGCAAATTGTTTCAGTTCAAGAAGTTTTTCATGCGGCTTTCGGAAAATATGGCGAAAAGCGTAACAAAAGCGGCAGAGAATATTACGTTCAGTGACGGTAAGAGAAAGATGGAATTTAGTTACAGGGCAAATGGTTCTTGCAAAAGATGCTTTCTATTCTTGTTCTCTGTTTTAACGTTTTCTTTACTGCATTTCCATTATTGTCTCTGGCTTTAAATTGAAGAAGAACAAAGACAAAATCAAAAAACTTTAAAAGAGATTTAAATTAAAGATTTTGGAGCTGTAGCAATTCTGTTGAGTTTAAAACTTTCATCTACACTCAGAGAAAAAAACTGGTGTTTCTACATTTAGTAATCAATACCACTTACAGTTGTTTAGTAATCTTCTTTCGTTCAGATTTTTATTTTTTAGAGATTTATGCCTGCAATTATTAATTTTGTTTCTCTTCAATTATAGTTGACTTTAATCTTAAACACTCTTATTCTTATTTTTAATTTTTATTCTTGTTCTTATTCTTATTCTTATTATTCCTTTTTTTGTAGGAAAAAAAACTTTATTTCCTCTTATGCAGTGTTAGCAGTCTTTGATTTATAATTTTCTGCCACTAAATATGGTTTATTACTTCAAAACTCTCGGGCTAAATTATAGGAATTAATCACTAAAGGTTTTCTCAATTAAGGTTTTTTGGTAGGCGTTCATGTACGCCGTACTGATAAACTAATTAGAGAAGCCAAGTATCACCCGCTTGAAGACTATATGAAACGAGCTGAAGAGTGGTTTCAAATTCAGGAGCGTCGGCTTCACATTTCTATTCAACGGAAAATTTATTTAGCGACTGACGAAACTACAGTTATTGATGAAGCATTTGAAAAGTAATTTTCTATTTATCTGGTCTTTATAATTCTTCACCTCTTTCACAGAACGAGAATTTCAAAAGTTTTTTTGCAATTACAATAGATGTTTTGATAGAGATTGCTTCGAGTATGCAAGAAAAGTTGTTAATAAAAATTTTAATCTCTCCTTTCTTATTTTGTCATTCATAAAGTCTTTGAAAAGTGTAGCCAGGAATAGTTTTTAAATAGAAATGGAATACGCTGTGGCGATAGATGTTTGAACAAAATGCTTTAGAAAAAAAGTTGGTAGAGAAAATTATTACATCATGCTTCTCGTCTTTTTTTTCATCAGCTGTATGATACAGAGCATTGAATGTAAAAAAATTGGTAATCACATTTGAAAAGAATTAACTCATAATTGTGAAGTAAACAGAATTTAACTGTAAACAAAACTTGGAAATTTTACTCAAAATTTTACACTATTCAAAATACACATCAAAAAATCATCAATTTATTTTAAAAAACTTGATATCAGCAACGAAAAAATTGGTGATTTCTCAAAGAAGCTTGGCAAAGCAACTTTGTCGCTTTGTTTTTCAGGTATCCAAATTATCAAATCTTTGCAAATAAAGTCAGATCTTTTCACGCCAAAGTTGAAACCAGATACACAGAAGAGTCCATCGAGAGTGCAGTGATAGATATTTATATGTTGTCAAGGTATGCAGTCTTTTTTTTTTCTATGAAACTGCTGTTTTAAACAAAATTAGTCGCTGCTGATTGTTTCAGATGTAATCACTTGGTTTGCACGCTAAGCTCTGGAGTTTGTCGCCTTGCCTATGAGTTAATGCAGTCGCAGTCCTTTACGACCGGAGACGTTGTTACTTCTTTAGACGATGACACTTACTGTATGACATTCTGAGTGTCTTTTAAGCCTTTAGAGTCTTTTCAGTCGCATTTTGTTTCAGTTTTCAAGTTCTTTTAAAATACTCCTTTTTTAGCAAGAGTACAAGTGGCTGTGTACAAGCACAAGGCTCAGTCTGAGCAAGAAATTGACTTTGATGCTGGAGATCAGTTGACGTATTTCACCAACCACTGGAATGGCTATACCTACGGTAGAAATTGGAGAACCGATCGTACCGGTATATATCCGTCTTATAAAGTTCGAGACAAGTGGAATACGTACTAAAAAAATTTCTTCTCAGATTCCAGATGAAAATTTAGAAAAGTTGGAAAAAAAGTGACTGAAAGCGGCTGTTTACCGTTCAGAAATCTGAGTAATTATTCAAAATGCATTATATTGCTACAAGACAAGATATTTCTTTTCCATAACGTTCTTTTTTCTGAATTATAAACGATAGCTAAAAAAGACTAATACTTTTCATTTATAATTGAGATAATTTACTGCTTTTATTTTCTTGCCTAAATAATATCAAGTATTTTTAATTTAACACAACTTTTTTGCTTTTAGAAATTAGCGTTTTGTGCTTTTCAAGTTTCACTGATTGACAACTCTATTATATCTTTAAAAACAAAACGAGATCTTTCAAACTGAAAACAAAAGCATTTTTGAGACTCTAAAACATTGTCAAAGTTCTAATGAGGTTTATCCAATGAGGTTTAGAACATGCAAAGTAGAAATTTATTTCTCGATGTTTACAATTGAAAGTATAACTCTCTCCAAAAAAAAGAAAGGAATAAATTTACGAACTTATATAAATTGTACAGACAACTGATAATACGCTTAAATTTACTCAAGTTAATGTCTACAGTCTTTAGATAATGCTACTATAAGCAGAAAGCTGTTAAAACTTTTTGGACATTGGCTAATATAATAAAGTTTACACTTTTTTTTCTGCTAACCAACAGATTACTGCAAAAAATTGTTAAAACAGCTTCGCCGTGCATAGGTTACGCATTTAAAGTGTTTTGAAAAGCAAATTGATTAATTCTACCTTTAATTGCTGCGGAATTATTTAAAATCAGTGCAAACTTTTACTTTTTTCAAACCTCTCAGCGAAATAACTATGACTCAGTTGTATTAGATCCAAGCTACAAAATTTCCCTACTACAATTCCCAGCTTAAATTCTGTTTCATGTTCAATTTAATGCTTCTCATAAAGATGCATTGTTCTTTGTTCATGAATACTACCAAGCATGGTAGCTTTTGATTACCGCAAAATCAGTATATATGTCCAGAAAAGTTCAAAAAGCGTTTTCTAAGAAATCGGTTTTTTTTGCCCACTCATGACTACGTGTATATTCAGTTAAAAAATGACTTTTTTGAAATTGTACAGTATACAGAATTTAGTTCATTGTTGCTGTTTTCCGCCTTTTAAGCAGAAGTTATCCTTACCTGTTCACGAATAATTTTTAAAAATTTTGCACAAATTAAAAAATC